GATATTTCTCCCGGCAATCTTAATTCCAACTTTTGATTCATCTAGCCCTGCCTTTCTCATGATGTGCTCTGCATATAAGTTAAATAGGCAGGGCGACAGTATACAGCCTTGCTGGACTCCTTTTCCAATTTTGAACCAATCAGTGGTTCCGTGTTCGGTTCTCACTGTTGCTTCTTGACCCGCATATAGGTTTCTCAGGAGACAAATGAGATGGTCTGGTACTCCCATCTCTTTAAGAACTTGCCACAATTTGTTGTGATCCACACAATCAAAGGCTTTTGCATAGTCAATGAAGCAGAAGTAGATGTTTTTCTTCTGGAACTCCCTAGCTTTCTCCATGATCCAGCGTATGTTGGCAATTTGATCTCTAGTTCCTCTGCCTCTTCGAAATCCTGCCTGTACTTCTGGTAGTTCTCGATCCACATACTGCTGGAGTCTAGCTTGTAGGATTTTAAGCATAACTTTACTAGCATGTGAAATGAGTGCAATGGTGCGATAGTTTGAACATTCTTTGGCATTGCCTTTCTTTGGAATTGGAATGTAAACTGACCTTTTCCAATCCTGTGGCCACTGTTGAGTTTTCCAAATTTGCTGGCAAATTGAGTGTAGCACTTTTACTGCATCGTCTTTTAAGATTTTGAATAGCTCAGCTGGAATACTGTCACCTCCACTAGCTTTGTTGTTGCTCAGATTTTCTAAGGCCCATTTCACTTCACATTCTAGGATGTCTGGTTCGAGGTCAGTGACCATCTCATTGTGGTTATCTGGGACGTTAAGCTCATTCTTGTATAGTTCTTCTGTGTAGTTTTGCCATCTCTTCTTAATCTCTTCTGCCTCTGTTAGGTCTCTGCCATTTTGGTCCTTTATCATGCCCATCTTTGCATGAAACGTTCCCTTCATATCTCCAATTTTCTTGAAGAGATCTCTGGTCCTCCCTATTCTGTTGTTTTCTTCTATTTCTTTGCACTGTTCATTTAAGAAGGTATTCTTATCTCTTCTAGCTATTCTCTGGAATTCTGTATTCAATTGGGTGTATCTTTCTCTTTCTCCTTTGCCTTTCGCTTCCCTTCTTTCCTCAGCTATTTGCAAAGCTTCCTCAGACAGCCATTTTGCTTTCTTGCATTTCTTTTTCTTTGGGATGGTTTTAGTTGCTACCTCTTGTACAATGTTGCGAACTTCCATCCATAGTTTTTCAGGCACTCTTGTCTATCAGATCCAGTTCCTTAAATCTATTTGTCACCTCTACTGTATATTCATCAGGAATATGATTTAGTTCATACCTGAGTGGCCTAGTGCTTTTCCCTACTTTTTTCAATTTAAGCCTAAATTTTGCAACGAGAAGCTCATGATCTGAGCCACAGTCAGCTCCTGGTCTTGTTTTTACTGACTGTATAAGCTTCTCCATCTTTGGCTGCAGAGCACATAGTCAATCTGATTTCTATGTTGACCGTCTGGTGATGTCCATGTGTAGAGCCGTCTCTTGGGTTGTTGGAAAAGAGTGTTTGTTATGACCATCGTATTCTCTTGACAAAATTCTATTAGCCTGTGCCCTGCTTCATTTTGTACTCCAAGGCCAAACTTGTCTGTTATTCCGGTTATCTTTTGGCTTCCTACCTTAGCATTCCAATCCCCCATGATGATAAGGACATCATTTTTTGGTGTTAATTCTATAAGGTGCTGTAGGGCTTCATAGAACCGGTCAATTTCATCCTCTTCAGCACCAGTGGTTGGGGCATAGATTTGGACTATTGTGATATTGAATGGTTTGCCTTGGATTCGAATTGAGATCATTCTGTCATTTTGGGGATTGTATCCCAGTATTGCTTTTCCTATTCTTTTATTGACTATGAAGGCTACTCCATTTCTTCTGAGGGATTCTTGCCCACAGTAGTATACCTGATGGTCATCTGAGTTAAATTCACCCATTCCTGTCCATTTTAGTTCGCTGATTCCTAAGATGTCGATGTTCAGTCTTGTCATCTCTTTTTTGACTACGTCTAGCTTGCCTTGATTCATGGATCTTACATTCCAGGTTCCTATGGAGAAAAAATCTTTACAGCATCGGACTTTCCTTTCACCACCAGATATATCCACAGCTGAGCGTCCTTTCGGCTTTGGCCCAGTCGCTTCATTCTTTCTGGCACTACTAGTACTAGCCCTCTGCTCTTCCCCAGTAGCATATTGGACACCTTCCGACCTGAGGGGCTCATCTTCCAGCGTCATATCTTTTTTCCTTTTAGTACTGTCCATGGGGTTTTCATGGCAAAGATACTGGAGTGGTTTGCCATTTCCTTCTCCAGTGGATCACATTTTGTCAGAACTCTCTGCTATAACCTGTCCGTCTTGGGTGGCCCTGCACGGCATAGCTTATAGCTTCATTGAGTTACGCAAGCCCCTTCGCCACGACAAGGCAGTAATCCATAAAGGGGAATTGATCTTTACAGCCAACTAAAATTAAAGAAATGATTCAACACAGGTCTGTTCAAAAAGAAGAAGATAGAGCAATTCCTAGTATTAAAGACAAGCAGGTCAGAAATAAATATAATATATAAAATTAAATGAGAGTAGCCAACTATTAAAATCAAATCTGAATGATGTGATTTTCAGTCTGAAACTCATAACTACTAGATATTTAGCTTTACAAAGAGTACTGAGTGAATAATGCCCTTCAAGTGAAATTATTGTATTAAAATTAAATGGTCTTCCTTCAAAGTATTTATACAAAGGATACTTTGTGAAAGGGGAAGAGACATTTTGCTCTAATTTTGCTCTAGTTTCTCCTACATATATCTTTTTAAAAAAAAAATATTTTATTGGTTTTTCAATTTTTAAGAAAAAGTACTCATGACACACCATGGTGTTTGGGTAATCAGGCATCCCAAAGTAAAAACATAAATAAACAACTCAACTCAATACATTCACTGTCTCCTCTCTATTTCCCTCAAATAACATAATATGTTTAAAATATTCCATTTCTAAATTAAATTTATATTACTACTAAACCTGTTTTAAAACTTTATCAGTTTACAATTACCAAAATCAAATTTCACTTTAACTCAACAAGTTATCAATTCAGGTATCCCTTCCAGATATATTCTAGTTCTTAATTTCTCTCATCCCTCCTTTTATCACCAATCTCATTTATTTCTTCTTCCATTACACAATAGCTATCTTAATTAAAAAATAATATTAATTCACTTTTTCAATTCCAATACATAATTTTCATCAAAATAAATCTGTTATTCCAAAAAGTATGCTTAATCTATTTAAAATATCTTTTCTAAAAATCACCCTCACATATATATATATGTTTAATTTTTTCTTGCTTCTAACTCTAAGTCATAATCCTTAAAACAAACCATAAATCAAAAATTGCCTTTAAATCCATTACACAATTTTAAATTTCTCTTTTCAGTCTAATACTGGTTTTTTTCCTGTGCCAAGCAGGTTTCCATAGGGACGCTTCCCTTTCAGCCAGTAGATCTGTCTTTGTTGCTTGCAGTAGCCTTTGCAATAATAGCAATCCCATCCTCTGCATTAGACGTCTGTATCTCTCCTCCTTGAAGGGTCGTTGCTTTATAGTTTGAAGTCTCAGTCTTTGTTTCTTCAGTTCCTCTAAGTTACAGATGCTCTCTTCCTTGAAGCGTCGTTGCTTTGTAGTTTGAAATCTCAGTTTTGCTTCTTCTGTTCCTCAAAATTGCAGATGGAAGGTTTGTAAGATAGAATAAGTTCCTCTTTTATCTCTGTTGATTCCTCTTCTAATATATTTTGATTTATACCATAGTCAGATATAGCCTGGATGTCCATTTGAACATTTGAAGTGAAATCCCTAGATCTTAGTTCTGTAGTAAACTTTTTCATTGTAGCACATATTTCTGCAGTAGCCTCATAGATTTTTTCCAATATAAGTGTACAGTTTAAATGTGACTGAGGTTTCTCCATTTTGATAGTAATTAAAAAGAGTCTCTTTTTTCTTTTTTGTGGAGGCTATATTTAATATAATTTAGGCAATATCCACCCCCACAGTTCCCACAGTTACCGAGCTTATTTTTCCTCTTCAAAAGTATTTTGAAGGTCAGCTATCTTCAAACCAAGTAACCAGAGGCTGCAGTATTAAATTTTCACCACTAGATGTCCTCAGTAAGTTAAAAATATCTTTTCCAAACGCCATTTCCCTTTTTCTATCTTTTAAAGTATAATGTGAAAAAGAAATAATCTTCCAGCATAGGATGATAGTACAGTTCTTAGAAAAAGAGAAAAGAACAGAATTTTTTTTTTCTGTATCCCAAAAAATATAAAAGTAAATATAGTCTTTAGAATTTTGTTCTATTTTTATAGAACACCTTTCTTCCCCCAAAAAATGTAGAAGCTGCCTTTTCAAGCCAGGGAAGGCTCTTTCAGATAGCAAAAACAAAATAGAATAGAGAGAATAACAAAGAAAAGTCTCACCTGGATTCACCACGGGGGTTCTTACAGCTTAGATATTCTTTGACTTGCAGTTTGAAGCAGCAAGGTGATCCGCCATTTTACTGGCCAATCTTCTTCTCCGTCGGCCCTCAGAGATGGCTCGGACAGCTGAGGGAACCACCACTCCTCAGCAGCCGAGCAGAGCCTCCTCGACAGAAGTCGCACCCTCCAGGGCGACTTTGGACCCGCATAAGGATCTGCCAGCGGAGGGAAAGCTAGCCGACGAGGAGAGAACTCTCCCCGTACGACTAGAGACGCCGCGAACCGGAACCAGAAGTCTCCTACATACATCTTGAGATCCTTAATTTCTCATAGAAAAGAGAAAAATATATGCTACTAAATTCTAAGAATACTATAGGTAGTTTGTAACTATGTTGTTAGAAAATAAGGAGATAAGCACAAAAACCAAGTGTTTAACTGTTCAGAGAGCCTACTGTTAAGAATATCCTTTTCTAGGGATTTCAAATGAAATACAGCCAATTTTCCTCCAATTTTAAAATTAATTTTATTGAATTTATTTTTTTTCTGCACAGATGGTGTTATTAACCTGAGCATACCGATTGTACTTCCAATCTCTACTGAAGACAAGAAACGTCTGGAAGGGTGCAGCGCATTCACCCTGGAGTTCAATGGGCGGAGGGTGGCAATCCTTAAAAATCCAGAGTTTTTTGAACACAGGAAGGAAGAGCGTTGTGCTCGTGTTTGGGGAACCACCTGCGCGAAGCATCCACATGTAAAAGTGAGCACAAATCAGTTCTATTTTTGCCTCCAGAAATATGAATAAATTATCTCATTCAGAGGCATCTGGGACTGGATCAAGATGGCAGCTGCAACCATCTGATTGAAGGCCCATCCTTTTTCACATGCAAGGATGGGCTTTGACTGTGCTATTACAGCAGCCTATCCAAAGGGTTACATTATGGCAATGGGACCAAAATTTGTTAATCTGAGACTTTCGTTGTTCATCCAAGCGATTTCATCAGTCAATATAAATTAAAAAATAAAATAAAAAGTTGGTATGGCAAGAGTTGGTATATTCCAATGACTTTTTGCCTGTCTAATTTTTTATTTTGTCTGTTGAAATTGCTTGGATGAGTAATGAAATATGTATCAGATTAACAAATTTTGGTCCCATTGCCATGATTTAATTTTTTAGATACTTTTGTCCTGGATGATTGAGTCTTCATTGACACATTACAGCAGCCATCTTAACTTTTTGACAATACCTTTGGCTATGGATGCCCTTAGTGTACTGTGATGCTTTTCACTACATTCCATTGTTACTGAAAGTATTCAGTATGAATGAAGGTTAAGTCCGTACTGTGAAAAGTTTAGAATATTAAGAATTCTTGGCTATAGGAATGCACTCCAAACCATGGAATGTACTATCCCCTCATTTTTTTCTGCTTTTAGACAGAATGTCACTATCTAACCTGACTAGCTTGCTCAGAGCTTTATCTATTTAAAGAATAAAGAATTAAAAAGAATTCCAACTGGGTGGGGATGTCCAGGAAGAGAGCCTTCTCTGTCGTTCTCCCACTCTTCTGGCCTTCTGGAAAGGAGTGAAAACATTGGCTTTTCAGGCTTGCTTGGGGAGCGCAGAGAAGCATGCAGCCGTGGGGCTGGTTAGCGCTCTGAAATCCCTCCTTTCGGCTTTCAATTAATTTTTAAAAATGTTTTTATCATTTCTGTCCTTTTTAAATTTTAACTTTTATATATTGATTTTATGTTTTAATATTTTATTGTATACTGCCCCAAGTCTCGCTGTGAGGGAGATGGGCAATTCTAAAATGTGATAATAAACAAATACATTTCTTATTCTGATCTGGGGCTAGAACATGTTGCTGATGTGCATAAAATGAGGGCAAATAGACAAAGTTCTAGTACAGGGATCTTCAAACTTGATCCTTTTATGACTTGTGGACTTCAACTCCCAGAATTCCTCAGCCACGCACACTGGCTGAGGAATTCTGGGAGTTGAAGTCCACAAGTCATAAAAGGGCCAAGTTTGAAGATCCCTGTTCTAGTAGGTAACAGCAAGCTGTTGTTATCTTCAGTTTCCAATCTAAGAATGTGTAGAGTATTTAATATCGTCAAGAACTATGATTCATACTAAATCCTTCTCCTACAGGTAGTTCTCGCCGTACGACCATAATTAACCCCAAAATTTCTGTTGCTAAGCAAGACATTTGTTAAGAGAATTTTGCCTCATTTTATGAATTTTCTTTCCATAGTTGTTAAGTGAATCACTGCAGTTGTTAAGTTAGTAACATGGTTGTTAAATGAATCTCACTTCCCCTTTGCTTGTAAGAGGTTGCAAAAGGTGATCACATGACCCTGGGGCACTGCAACTATCATAAATATGAGCCAGTTGCCAAGTGTTCAAATTGTGGGGTAGCTTCAAGTCACTTTTTTCAGGGTCATAACTTCCAATCATCACTAAGCAAATGGTTGTAAATCAAGGACTACCTGTATTTGTGCACATTTCAGATGTTTTTCATCCTATCATCTGTCGCTCAACTTGGTTTATTAACTTTAAGTACAGATTTTCCACTTACCCATCTTGTTCCAGCTAAAAAAGAAGGAAAACCAATATTTGTATACCTTGATGATCTTATATTTTTACTTGCCAATTGGCTACCTCTGCCCACTTGTTAAGTTAGTATATTATTTCATTTCCTGTGCCAATAGACCTTCACAAGGTTTACAAAAATTAATATGCAATAATCTAAAACAATATATTAGAACCATATAAAAGGATATTCATTTAAAAGATGTGTGGGAGAAAACAAATACCACAGATTTGTCCATGCAGTATTTCTATAAGGAATGCTTGGATAAAGACAAAAGTTTTCAACTGATACTAAAAGTTGTAATAATAGGTGCCTCACAAATTCAAGGAGAGCATTCACAAACAATTTGAACACTTGGCAACTGGCTCATATTTATGATAGTTGCAGTGCCCCAGGGTCATGCAATCCCAGAATAGCTCCCTTCAGCTTTTGGGACACATACAAAGATGGTTTCAGAAATCATCCATCTCTTTATTGCAGGATCCAATCTAAGGTTTAGTCTTCTGAGCTTTCAGATTTGTGCTGGAGCCCACCCACAGGGAATTTCTCTCTAGAAGAATGTGATGCTTTGTGTGCTATGTCTATGAAATCAGCTATGTCTTTATTGATGAAAGTAGTCTGTCAGCTCACATACTTTCTCTACAGTAGCAGCATGAAGAATCTTAACCATGGTTTGATCACAGTCTTTATTTAGGCATTTTAAATAGTAATATCTACAAAATGGTTATTTCTCCTTACTTTAGATCTGAGGTAGAGGAATCTAGGGGAATCCAGATGTTGTCTGACCATAACTTCTAGTACCAAATTAACATAGCCTGGGATACAGATATGGGAATTGAAGTCCTGTAACCTCTGGAATGTTATAAGCTTTACATAGAGGCTGAATTATTATATTTGAATATCAGTTCTAATTCCTGGTAATAACTTTTGATAGATGGTGATGGAGAGTGGAGACTGGCTCGCTGGTGGTGATCTCCTTGTACTAGAGAGAATAAAATGGAATGATGGACTAGACCAATATCGCTTGACTCCATTGGAGCTGAGGGAGAAGTTTAGAGAGATGAATGCAGGTAATTCTTTGTATCAGTAAAGCTCTGCTTGGCACGGCCCTTTCCAGTTAATGTGTCCTGATTCTCCCAGTGCCATGTTCCTTATATTTCAGATGCAGTTTTTGCTTTCCAACTACGTAATCCAGTGCACAACGGACATGCTCTACTAATGCAGGATACTAAACGACGGCTGCTAGAAAGGGGCTATAAGCATCCAGTGTTACTCCTGCATCCTCTTGGTGGATGGACCAAGGATGATGATGTGCCCTTGGACTGGCGCATGAAGCAGCATGCTGCAGTGCTAGAAGAACATGTCTTGGATCCCAAATCCACTGTTGTTGCAATTTTCCCTTCTCCCATGTTGTATGCTGGCCCAACAGAGGTATGGAGTTTAGTTCCCTGAACATTATTATTTTTTTTAATATTGTTCTGGTTTTGTTTTTTTTAACAAGTAGTAGGAAAAGAATGAAAAGAGCCACCAAAGTGGGAAAGAAATAAGCGAGAAACCACAGCCATATTTTACTCTCTTTCCTAGTTAATATTTTAAAATGTATTTCTAGGAATTTTCTCTCATTTAAGACCATCAATCAAGAGTCATTAATCTATGATGGATCTTCAAACTAGGCCCTTTTATGACTTGTGGACTTCAACTCCCAGAATTCCTCAGCCAGTGTGCCTGATCTATGACAACTTCAGAACAGACATGGTTGGGGAAATAACAGAAAGCCATGGGTGTGCCACCCCATCTTGGTACATTCCTTTCTAATGTCTGAGTTTCATGACATGATAGAAGTTTCCAAAGAGATTAAAAAGGGGGATTTCTGATATCAGATCTCTTATTACGGTATTAAAATGTTTTAAATGCATGAAATAGTATGAATGTGAATGAATCTGCTTGAGAGTAAATCTCCTTATGTTTGTTGAGGCCTCCAAGTAAATGGGTATAAAACTGTAGCCTGATACCTTGAAACACCCAGCCACCCACGTTTTCATAGCATTCTGTTCATTCTTGTGGCAGGTCCAGTGGCATTGTAGGTCTCGAATGATTGCTGGTGCCAATTTCTACATTGTGGGTCGAGATCCCGCAGGTATGCCTCATCCAGAGACCAAGAAAGATCTGTATGAACCCACACAAGGTGGAAAGGTGCTTAGTATGGCTCCAGGACTAACTTCGGTGGAAATAATTCCCTTTCGAGTAGCTGCATACAACAAAGTACAAAAAGCGATGGCTTTCTATGATCCAGACAGGTAAGTAATAATAGTCAATTACAACTCCATAGTTAGCATTTTCTCACATTAGCTATGTCCTCATTGGTGTCTAACCATTGGAATCAAGATGCCATTACATCCTCTCTTTTTTTTCTTCTGTGTTTATATTAATTTGACTTCATTTCATCCCCAGCATAGGACTGGCTTCAGTATCCTTAGTTTTAAACTAGTATTGTCCTCAATAGTCAGACTAGAGCAACTTCAAGATATGTAAAATTTGTTACGCTTTATTATATTTTACTTCAAAAAAGTGGTCAAGAGATATGGTGAGTGACTGAGACCAGATGCAATACATAGGTATAAGGACAGAAATTTAACCATCTCATATAGCTATCTGCCAACTCAAGAATGTATACCCAGCACAATATTTTTCCATTGGGAAAATAGTCTTGGTGGATATTTGACAACTTCCTTAGGCAAATATAATTATTTACATTATGAGAGTCAGGAATAAACTGGTGCCTTCCAGATGTTTTCTATTTCAACTCCTATTATCTCCAAGAATTATAATTATGAACATCATAATTTATTGGAGACTAATTCTTGTATTTTGTTTGCTATTTGCTGAATACAAAGAGTCATTTCGTATTGGCCACATTCACAGATCATGATGGACACAATGGACATTACGGTGCAGGAGAATTAGGGCCAATTTTAGGTGTATCTACTTTTAATGGACCACTGTTTCTTGTGTGAACTGAACAGGGAACTGAACAATTTTTACAAACTGTAGTTTGACATTGGCTTCATTAAAATTATTCATCTCACTTCTTTTGGCCATGTCACATGGGGGAATTCACTGAAGAAAGCAATTATGTTTGGAAGAGTTAGGGGTAAAAGAAACCAGGCCTTCAAAGAATACAGTGACTGCATACTATCAAAACTGACACCAACCAGAGCATAGAAAAACTCAAAGAAATAGTACAAGATCAGAAGATATGGAGACACCTGGCCCATAGAATCACCAAGAATCAGACTTGACTGAACCAATATCATCATCGTCATCAAATGGATCAAAGTTTGCATTAATTCTTGTATGTTCCTTTACATGAGGCACTAAACCAGGTTTAATTAAAAGTTTCCAGACTTTTCCTTTGATCAAATGGGAGAAAATAGGAAATTAGTCAAGACTGGCATCTTAACGCATGACAATAATGGTGAAAATTGCTTTCCTATCTTGACTTAATCCTAATTTGAACTGTGGTTCACAGTGTACATATTCATTGCCCTATTCAGGATTCAATTTGGAAAATTAGAAAATGAGATTTTTTTAAAAAAAGAAAAAGATATGCGATGATATGTATTAAATGCCACTAGACAAGCACAGGAACCTGTGACTCTCCAGAGATTATATTTTACAACATCTGAAGGATAAATATCCCACTTCTGTTATAGAGAAAAATGTGGTAAATGTAATATACTGACTTGGGATGCATTTTTTGCTTCTGAATATTCCAAATGTGTTCTTTTCCAAAAAGGAACTGGACTTTTTTGGTGTTTTCTTTGAAAATGTTTCGGTTCTTAAACAAGAAGTTGAAGAACTGAAGAAGCTTCTTGGATGAGAAGCAAAACGTTTTCAAAGAAAATACCGAGAATCCAGTTCCTTTTTGGAGGGAAAAAAAACACATTTGGGTCAGCCATAACCTGGATGATTGAGAACCTCCATAGACATTTGCTTCTGAATAGTCTTTAAAAATTTGATCTCTGGGATGATCATCGCAGAGCAATGAAATGTTATGTGTTGTTCAGACGAGGCAGCAACATGAATTGCTATTTGTACCTGTGAATGATTACTCTTCAATAATATGTAAAAAATAGCATCCGTGTCAGATCAATTTGAATGTACAGAAAGTGAACTAGGATTAGGAAAATGCAGCCTTTTGGGTACTGTTTTCGGTGTTGCAATATGCTTGCCCTATCTTCATGTTTCCTATTTGTTCATATTTGTTTGAGGGACACCAGGGTTCTTCTTGACCATAACCACCCTCTCATGAGACAGATGGGATCAATTTTTCAGGTACCCCTAGGCTAGCATAACTAGGTGTATTTTGCATGAGACAGTATGGTGAATTCAGAGCACTTTCAAATGATAGAGAACTCCAGAGGTGAAAAAGGAGTTGCATTCAAGGTACAAAATTCTACTAGAACAGCGGCCCCCAATCTTTCTGACTTGGTGGCCTGGCCTGAGGATGTGGTGGGGGAAGGGGATGGTTTTGTGTGAATGACAGGTGCATGAGCGTGAGCATGTACAGCTGCATTTGTGTGACCGGACTTTCTTGTGCAAGTGCAAGCACCTGCCACTTGTTCAAGTGGAGCTATGTGCGCTCGCCCGCTGATTGCATGGTCTGTCTCTGAACGTAATAATGGGTTGCGGCCCGGGGATTGGGGATGTTCTGTCCCAGCCTACGTGAGTACTTCCTCAACCACTTACTCATGAGGAGAAACCCCTCTTCATGGAACCAGGCAGAACCTGCAAGAAAAACAAAACCCCTTTTATTTTTACACACCTGACTCAATATCTAAGACTTCAGAGGCAAGCAATACAATCAACAAAAACATGAATCCTCAGCATGAACGGTTGCCTTTGGAAACCAGCACCTCCCACACCTGTCCTCTTTATAGTCCAGCTGAGGTGTGGCTTCCTAATGACTTTTCCTTTGCCTCTGGAGCTGCCCCACTCTTTCCTCTGTCTTGCTTGCTTCTCTTCTCTGTGCATCCGCGATTGGCCCCAGCTGTTCCCCATCATCGCCCAACTCAGACTCCCAAAATCACTGTAGAGGGGCAGGGCTCCTCGTCTGACTGTGAGTCTTGATGCTTCTCAGAGCCTTCCTCTGACTCCAGTGTCATTCCCGGCCCCTCCTCATCTGTGTCCGCAGACTCAGCTCCCGGATCCACTGGCTGGTGATCTCTATACTAGAAGACATCATCATATTTATATATACAGAAGCAGATGTCATGAAATCTAATACATTAGATTACAGTGAAAGCACCATATCTTTTGCCTGGCATTGAATGTAGTAGGTTGAGAGGTTAAACGTTAATTTTAAGGCAAGTCAAGATCTACAGCATAGGGATGTAAAAGGATGCTTGTAATACTCCCAAGAGTATCTCTGCCCCTCCCTGTTTCTTTTGTTGCCTTTTTTCCTGAAACAAATAAAATTAAAGGACCCAGTTAGAAAAATCCAGTTTGAATGTAAAGGTGTCCTCAACCTTGGCAACTTGGACTTCAACTCCCAGAATTCCTCAGCCAGCAAAGCTGCTAAGGTTGAGGACCCCTGCTTTAGAAGTCTAGTAACTGATGGTTAACATTCTATTCTATTTTATTTTATTCTTCACCAGGCACAGTGAATTTGACTTCATTTCTGGCACACGCATGAGGAAGTTGGCTCGTGAAGGTGAAAATCCCCCTGATGGATTCATGGCGCTGAAAGCATGGAAGGTGTTGATAGAATACTACACATCGATGGGAAAAAACAATTAATTACGCTGTCTCTGTCAAAGTGCCTTTATTTTAAATATGAGCTTTTTTAATTGATGAATATGCTATGATGTATCATCTAGTTTCGAATCTTTTGGTTGCTGGGCATTTTCTTTCTGGGCCATACAATGGTTCTGGACCAGCTTTTGTCATTTTTAGAGCTTAAATAGGCAATTTCTTCTTAATTTCCAAGGAATGCCATCAAACAAGTTTTTACCATACACATCAACAAGTAAGATCAAAATGAGTTCAAAGCCATAGGGATCCAGCTCTGACAGCCTTTGCCAAAAAAATATTGACACTATGCAACTATGCAAATTATCACATTAGAGCATGTGATTCTTTCTTAATGCTATAAATTGCCCCCCTAGAAAGAAGCAGGGGATAAACTAGTATTTTCCCATTGTGGTTTTTTTGGTCTCCACCAAAACCTTCATCTACTGTTGGGATGAAGAGGGAGGATTTCATGGTATGTCATTTTTTAAGATGGTGATGATAATGAAGATGAAAAGGAGTTGGTATAATCAGCGTTTCCTAACAGAGAATTCTATGGCAGTTTTCTCTTAAAAAGAGGTCACAAAGCTGTGCTGGTTCTGAAAAATTCTTTACAAATTACCTTTTGGTCAACTTGGATCAAGAAATGCACCTTTCTCATCCTTGACATCAATTTTCTTTTTAGCCTTAACCAAATTCTTTCATAAAGGACATTCGCAAGCATTTTCCCCTCAACTGGGTGCTAATAACATCATTACAGGCTAAATGATTTTCACAGCTCCGGTCATATCTTCCAAGGTAGACCAGACTAGGAAACCAAAGTCATGTAGGCCACTACTACTTTATTTTAAAGATATAGTAATAGAATCTTACAAGTCTGAATACATTTCCTCCCTCCCTCTCTTTATCCTTGGGAGAACTAGAGAGGGTCTTGCCTGAAACTTTTTTCAGGTTACATTTCAGCCCCCTTCTTTTATTTGACTATTGTCTTGGTAGTGGCTCCTCTATCTCTCCCCCAAGGCCATTTTCTTTCCACACCATGATCGCCTTAGCTTATCCTTCGGAACAGCTGACTTTAGAGAAGATTTTCTGAGAGACATGGATTCATTCCTAATCATCTTCTAGGATGTCTGTAGAAAGGGGTGTCAAAAAAGTCATGACAGCTACAATGCTGTCCTACCCCCTTTTTACTGACTCCATTTATCCAATGATAAACTCTGAATTATCTTAGATGAGCAGATCCAATGAAAGTGTCTTAGAGAAAGAAATTGTTAGCAACTGGTTTCAAGGACTGATTCACGTACACGATAGCTGATAGTTTTGTATGCTTTTGTAACATCCTGTCTTATCATCATCTAAAAGAGGCATTTAAAACTAGGGGAAAAATTCCAGGGTCACCATAAGGCAACTTGAATCTTGGAGTAAATACTTAAGGGAAAGGTGAATGCATGTGCAGGACACAACCCTTTTCCCCCTAGGAAAGCTTTTTGCATTTTATATATTGAATCATCACGATTCCTGTATTTTTAATTCTTTTCTTCTTGGCAAGGAGCAAATAAGCACAAGCATTATCATGATTGATGAATCCCAAATTATGGAGATCTGTTCCAGAATCTGCTCATAGGAGTAGAAAACTTGTTTTAGTCGTATTCCCCCCATATAATTGGTTCAGTCAGAATTAACTGGTACATTCCTTTTGCATCTTAATACTTCAGTCATGGATGCTAAATGCAGTTTAACACAGTATACCCTTCTGATATTTTATTGCTTTTTAAAAAAATATCAGCTCCTTTTGCTATTGTGCTGCAATACTTAGTGTGCTGTTCAGTGGCAAGGAGAATGAATATTGTACAAATCAGAATAGCCCCATCATGAAAATCACTGAGAAGAGACGATCTGTCTCGGAAGCTTTACATACACTAGTATTTTCCCATCACCTTAGTCTGAGATGGCCCTGCTTTTTGAGTATATACCTAGTGCTGTTGTACCACTGGACACACAGCTGCTTGGCTCTGAAATCCACATCCAAAATCAAGGGTTATTTAAAACTCAGCATAAAACAGCTGCCCTCTGCTCTGTATGATATACCAGGCAACTCCAGCTGCTACCTGTACTTTCACAATTGGGGAATTGTTGCATTAAATGTCTTCAGTGTATTATTTATTTTTGTAAGCTTTGTAAAGGACATCTTTATTTGAAAACACAATTCAAGGCACTCTAAAATTTCAAATCAGTATAACATCAGGCCAAACATATTAACTATAGAACTGGAAAGAAAAAAATGATGGAATTTAAAATATATTAATTGGAAATCCACAAACACTCTGAAACTTTTATCTGCCTGTCTGGCCATCCACTCATCCATCCATCCTTCTTTTGGGTATAACTATTCATACTGTTAGAATTTCTTCCTATTGTGACCCCCCCAAGATGAAAAACTGATTCAGACCATGGATTATAGAGCCTAAAATGGATTGTGGTCATCATTTGGGCATTTGTATTAACTACAGGTATGCTAAGTTTTTTTTTCTTTTATGATTTGGATTTTTCACTATTCGTGTCCAGGAATAGCTAACTCATTTTCATGGTGCAATTATGCAACAAAGTCATTTTTATAATCTAAATACAAATATTTGAAAATGCTTTTTAAAACATTGCTAGCATTAATAGTTTTTGAATCTTTGGGACCAAGAGAATGAAACGGGTTTCCTTTATTTTATTTTTTTGTCAGTTGAATGCAGTAGGTAAGCAGTATCCATCTGCAAATTGCATTGAACAGAAGACAGATAGCCAGTATAAATGATAGAAGGTTCCAGCATTGCTGGCTAATCTACATTAGCCATAAGCCCTTCTAAACTAAAGTTTTGGAAGGGAGCTTGAAGGTAAACGTTTTCTTGCCACTGTAATCTAAATGTTTATAGTGCCAATATTTTTCCAAGTTTTTAATCTTATGGAACTATAGAGTCCAAATAAATATGTTGTATGTGCCTTTACCTTTCTACAAAAATACATCCTATATTTTATAGCATATTTATTACAAACCCCAAAACTGACATGTGTGCCTTAACTGTTGCATCACTTGACAAAAATATCTTCTCATTTTGGCCTTCCATTATTAAAATTCATTATGGTGACAATAAATATTTTGTTGTTTGAATGTTTCTGCCTTTCACTTGTGTGCAGGTAGTAAAGCCCAAAACTGACACCTGCTTGTCATCTGTAGTAATGTCCTCAAATTGCATCAAATGCTATGCTACAGAAAGTCTAGTATGTACAATAGTTCTACATACGTTTAGTAAAGTTTTATCCAAAAAAAAATGTCATCAGTAGGTCTATCAGGAAAATGAATATTCATTTTGTATAAAGAGCAAAAGAGATTCAGATGCTCTTGTTAGAAAAGCAGGAGAAAATCAGTGATTCTTTACAAATTGAGCTAATATGTACAGGTAGTCCTCGACCTACAACAGTTCACTTAGTGACCAAAGTTATAACAGCTCTAAAAAAAGTGAATTGGGACCATTTTCCATACTTAAAGCCATTGCAGCATTCCCCACGGTCACGCAACCAAAATCCGGATTCTTGGCAACTCATTTATATTTAGGACAGTCAGTTTCCTGGGGTCACATGATCAGCTTCTGTGACCTTCTGACCAGCAAAGTCAACGGGGAAGAGATTCACTTAACAATAATTTAATCACTGCAATTATTCACTTAACTGTGATGAGAAAGGTCGTAAAATAGGGCAAAACTCACTTAGCAACATAAATTTTGGGCTCAATTGTGGTGTAAGTCAAGGAATGCCTGTACCTGAAAGCCAGTTTGATTTAGTGGTTAAAGACATTGGGCCAGAAACCAGGAGACCGTAAACTCTAGACCTACCTGTGGGACAAGGCCAGCCGAAGGCATCTTGGAATCATCACTCGCAGCCCTAGTTTTGTAAGGGTAAGCCACTTCCAAAACTGCAGAGGCTTGTCCAAGGAATCATTAGGAAAGGGACAGAGTGTGTGTGTCTGTGATGAGACTAGTTATTGTGGGTGTTAAAGTCTAGGAGATTTCAGGTTAGGGAAAGATGTCTTAGACCAATTTAGCTCTCATAATCTTGAATTAAACTAATTCTAGTCTTAGCCAGCATGGCTAAAATGAGATGATTGGAGTTGCAATCCAGTACCTGAAAGCCAGCAGAATCCCCATTTCTCTCCTAGATAGAAAAAAAAACAACATACTGCCTTCAACAAAACATTTTCTCAGAAAATAAATGAACACTGAAACTGAATCATAAATAGGCTAATTTTTTTAATTCATTTACATTTAGCCACTCCAGTGAGAATACATGTATGTACGTGATCCTTAAAACCATGTGGAAAAACAGAAAAAAACACGTTTAAAATGATTTGCCATGATCATGTCACATTTATTGCTTCATTCCCTAAGTTAATCAAGCTCAGCCTTGGGTTTTCAAGTTTAAGAAAGGAACTCTTACATATCCCTATGCCCATTACTGTATTATTTTACACAGCAGTTGTGCTCTTTTATGTCAGTGGAGCTCTGGATGCTGGTAATGACAATAAAGAACAAACATATCTAATGACAAAGCTCGTTGCTTGGATTTCAGTCTCAAAACTCTTGGTAGACTATTTTACTCTCATGAGTAAAATAGGATGACATATAAACCTGACACAACCATAACACTGTACAGACCACAACTACAGACCTTGTGTCCATGACAGAACAGTGAACAGCCCACTCCCACTTCAAAATCACAAGAAACAGGAGCCGCCACAGAGAAATCATGTATGCTTAATATTAGCAGATCTATTATCTCCAACTTTCAAAGTAGTTGCACGCATTGGGCTTTCACTTGGAGCTCTAACAGCATATTAACTACAAGATGGAAGAAAACGGTAGGCAACTCTTCTTTCACAATATGAAGAGTGCTGGTCAAGCCAATGATGGGACTTGAATTTAATTTTAGAACAGTACACAAGAAAAACTCTCAACTCTATATTATGAATTGTTTGTAACTTCAAAAGTCATCTTGATTACACAAAGAATCGACATTTAGTAAATGCTTATCTGAATGTCAGAAGAGCTAAAAGTATAATGAATAATTACAAAGAAAGTACCATAATGGCATTAACATGGCTCCATTATAAAGTAAGGCGCTCTGCTGAAATCACAGCTCTTTAAAAAAGGAAGTAAGTCAATACTGGGAAGCTTCTGTTTTATTTGGTACAATTCTTCCAAAAACCTTCTGCATCCATTCTATCTTACTTTAGAAACATCCCTCAACCCTTGGAAAAATTTTGTAGGGGGAGCAAAGGAGAGAAGAAACTTTCCATGAATTTTATCCTATAAACAAGCCCCTATTTTTTTGTTTGTTTCAAAAATAATATACTAATATTTTCATCTGGAAATCAAATAATTTTATACGGCAAACACTGGGCTGTTGAATATGCAAATTTATGAAGATGCCAAAAAACTGTTATTTTTGGTGCTACGGACTCTGGAAATCATAAATAAAATTGTTCCTTTGAAGGAACTTTCAGTGAGAATTCCCATCACCACAATCAGACCATAACTATTAAGAACAAAAAGATAATTTCTATTCCTGACAATTAGGACCTCTGAATATTAGAAAAACTGCTCTTTAATCTATAAATGCTGATAAATATTTTATTATAAAACTATATAGCTATGTCCTGGGATAGCTAATGGAGCTTAGTGACCAAGGAGAGATAAAAATCTAAGTGTTACTACTATATAGCAATAGATCTGGTGGAATAAATACCTAAATAATAGTTCTAGAAATTAAACAGATTGTTCAAATTTATTTCCTCTTAAACAAATTGAGGTGAAATTAATTCAACATTTTCAGGTGCTTCTTCCTATGTTTAAATTATGCCTATCAAATTAATACTTACTGCTGGAATGAGGAGGTCAGAAGGCAAACAAGCTTAAGATTTTAAGTCATGTTTTAAATACAATGGCAAAGGACATCAGAAGTATTGACCAAGGTTTAAAAAGTCTTGAGAGAACTCATATGTAAAGAGCATCTGCTGAAATTTCCTGAGCTGCTACGATCTCTGGATCCTAACCATTGTCTTTAAAACAAACCTGGAATCAGCAATGTTTAATTTTCCCTCTTGCAAATAAACCAAAGCACTTAAAGCAGTGGTTCTCAACCTGTGGGTCGGGACCCCATTTGGGGTCGAACGACCATTTCACGGGGGTCGCCAAACAACACAGTCCGCCATTTTCCCCCCCTTTTCCTTAGCTGTGCTACTCCCTTTTATTCTATTGGCTTTTGAAAGCCAATAGAATAGACTCTCTTGAATAGAGTCTAATTCTATTGGCTTTCAAAAGCCAATAGGAATTGTCCAGGCTGTCTCTGCCCTGCTGAGCCCGCCAAAAGTCCCATTCTGCAAACGGTGCTGCACCAGTTGAGTAGTCCTCAACTTATGACTGGTTGAGTAGTCCTCGACTTAAGACTGGTTGGGGGGGGGGTCACGGCATTAAAAAGGTTGAGAACCACTGACTTAAAGGAATAGAAAAAAAGATAAAACTTTTTCACTCAGAGAGAAATGAAGTATGATTTATGCTACTATAGACTTAAATGGGGCTATTCTGAGCTTATGAAAATTATGAAGTGAAATGATACATCTTAAAATGAATATATTTTGGTCACAAGAGCTAATATTTAGCTTTGCTGATGGGGCTAAAGATTATTCATCGCCATTCATAAAGGTTTAGAACATGAGGTACAACAGACTCATTGTGTGACATTTATTTATAGGCCATAGAAAACACTGGAAAGATCAGATACAATTATTAATTTTATACTTTTGGCTGAAATTAAGTAGAATAAAATTTGAGACATGACCAAAGAATTACTATCAGAATACAATAAAGGTCATTAATATAAAAGACTTAATTGAAGAATTAAATCAAATATTTTATTACAATCTACCTAGGGAATTTGTCCTAGGATTTCATATTGCAAAAGAGATGTGTGTAAATGACTTTAAAAGGTTAACTTACTGATATCTCAAGCTGTATTTATATGTATGGCTAAAGATGGGAGCAGCGTATCCAGAAGCATAGATATTTTTCAAGTATTTTTCTTCTTTTCAGATATATACCTCAGATATGCACAAGGGGTTTGGATAGGACTAATTTAGCAATAAAAGGGAAATTAACTGGGGAATGACACCCCATCCCCATTATGATTTAATGTCATCCATAATGTAAAAGCATATGATCATCACATATACATTTACCCACTCAGTTCTTAATCCCAAATATTCTGATCAGCCACTTAAATGGGACTAAAATTCTAAGATGACTTGGTTGGATTTTTAAAAGAATTATTTCATTTGACAAAAATTGCTTTATGTAACAGTAACTGATTCGTTTTTTCCTTGGCCACAAATTTTCCATTTTGAAATGGACACATAGAAAAAACCCTAAACCATTCTAGTTAGGATATAATCTGTAAAAGACATTTTGGTTCTATACCCAAAGAAAAAAAACTAAAGAGTACACCTAGAATTAGAACACAGATATGAATATGAAAAAAAAGCAGTACATGAATTTAAGAAAATAAATCTTATTATTCCAATCTTTCCTGTTATGATTATTTCATAATTAATATAAAATATTATTTCCCACTCTTTGCAAGATCCCTGTCTTACAGAAAGAAATTTAACTAAAATTGAAAGCCACTATCCTTTATGTTAGAATTTTTGTTATTTCCACTTAGAATGTTTAGAGCAAATTTAGCAATGCCAATATTTATGTCCAGTAATTAAATAAAGGACATTATTCACAATTCAGAAATAAAAGAAAACATTAACAACCTGTAGTTTCCAGTGTTCTGCCTACAATGGTAAGTTTCAATTATACAAAAAAGGTATTAAAAAATACAATTTGTAGGATCATACAAAATGAAGATTCATGAGATTTGAGCACTTTTTATATTTAGGTCATTGGCACCAGCGCATACTGTCAGTTATGATGCAAAGGAGAAATGAGAATTTCCCTATATTACAGATACACCCCTCCCGACTCTCCAAAAAAGCAAAATGGGTGTGCTTTAGGGAACTGTGCAATTATTATTTTAACCCCATGATCTAACTCGATCCAGATAGTAAGTAAAAAGAAAAAGAATGAACGGATTTCACATTCAAGTTTTCTACATATTATGTCTCTATATAAAAGCCTGTGGATATACATACATATCATATACACACACACACATCGTCTCATATACATATACATAGGCTCCGCTCCTTCTCAGAATAACCATGTGCCATGTGAAAATCTACCAACAAATTTTTAAGGCTGCAACAAGGACATTGGTTTAAGCAAGACCATATACCTCCATGTCATGATCTGTCACACAGACCGAATCCAATTCTGCAAAATTACTAAGTTTCAATAACTTAGGTATCAGCATATAAAAGCAATTCCAGAAACAATCATTAAAAGGATTTTGTTTTGTTTTGTTTTCAATTGACTTCTACTATTTAAATTACCAGTCACCAAAAGAAACTATGGATAACATTAATCTAAACTAACATGCATCAGAACATTTTGATTTGTTGCATCCCTTGATTTCCTCATCTTCTCGATTGCTCGATGCAAATCCCTTTGTTGCACTGGGCGAATTTCATCATCATCGTTGCTGGAAGAAAAAAACAGGAAAAAGTGAAAAAGCACAGTTAATAAAATAAAAGAGACAAGAGTACTATGTATCATGCACTATTTGGGAATAATCTAGAGCAGGGGTCCCCAACCTATGGTCTGTGGGCTCTTGGCCAGTAGGCCACAGAAACGGCTGGCCGGTGTGCACACGCGTGGGCATGCATTTCCCCCCCACTCGCGCTAGCGGCGCTATTTGCACATGCGTGCAAGTGCAAATGGGAATGCTAGTGTGGGGTGGGTGTCTGCAGCCCGTTTGTGCATGCGGTGCTAGCCCAGGCGGTTTGCATGGCCCATTTGAGCATGCGTGAACAGGCCACTGGCCACTGTGGGGGGTGCACGGCCATTCATGTATGCGCACGGCACCAGTGCATGCCACATGCATGAATGGGGCTCCTTGTGCCACGCCAGTGTGCGTGTCCCCGTGTGCGTGCACGCACACCAATTTTGAAGCTGCTTTCCTTCCTTCTGGTCCTCGAATCCAGAAAGGTTGGAGACCTCTGATCTCAAGGTATGAAACTTGCTTCAAATTCCAACTGAAACATTCAAACTTTTGAATCTGAAATAGTTGTTCCCACATTCAAATCAATGATTTTGAAAGCATTTTTGACCATTTCAGAATTGTTTTGAGGTATTTCAAAATAATTTAAAGCGGATATTTGCATATTTAAAATTCTCTGCAACATCTTATGTGGTATTAATTTAACTCTCACTTCTCCAGATGCAACAAGACATACAAATTAGTCATGAGTTAAGAGCACATCCATCTTGCTACATAAAGTAAGAAAACAGGAAGGAATCCCCTCCCAAATCTTCCAAACAGTTCAGCCAATGTTTAGGCTATGAGAATCCATTCCTGTAAAAAAAAAAAAAAAAAAAAAAAAAAAACAGCAAAATTGGCTCCTAGATATCAAGTCTTCTGTGGCATTAAGAAGAAGTACCTGTCTTCACACGCAGTATTTACATATTCCCTGACACACAGCAGTGCAGCATCGCGGCACATTTCTTTCAAGTCACTTCCTGAAAACCCATCAGTTTCTTTAGCAACCTCCAGGAGATCTACATGCCTGTCCACCTGTTAGCAAAGGGGAAAAAAAAAGCACATACAAGAGCCATATAATTAACATAAACAATAAGGAATAGACTGAAATAGAATCAAAGAATTTGTCATGCTTTTGTTAAAAAAAATACTTTGGTTTGGACTTTGATTTATCAGATAGTTATTTATGGAAATTCAAAAATGACCAGAACTGTTATATTAATTAAGAAATCTCCATATATTATATCTGAACATGACATTTTGGTTATTGATGGGCACCTTATAATTTTGGCAATTACTAATAACGATAGTCAAATGGCTCTGATAAATTTTTATGTCCCAACTGGCGATAAACTAGATATTTCGCATAATTGTTTTGCAAGTCGTTTTTATTTACAAGAGATAATACATGTAATCCTTAATGATTGATAACTTAGCGATTGTTCCAAGATACGACGGACTCCCCTCCAAAAGCTACTTACAACGCAGTTCCAGAGTTCCAATGGCTGTACAACACCCCCCCCCCAGTCACATGATTATATTTCAGGCACTTGGTAACCAGCTCACCTTTACAATTGTGGAGCACATGAGCTTTTGTGATCATGTGACTGCAGGATGCTGAAACTGGTTGTAAATGATAGCGGTTGCCAACCACCCAAATTTTGACTGGGGGATTGGTACAATGGTCATAACAGCAAATGCAAGTCTTAGTTTCTTTGTCCAAGGCTATTGTAACTTTGAGCCATTATTAAAGGAACAGTCTTAAGAATGGATGACCATATAAAATGAGTAAATACATACAAAAATTTATGGTAAGCAGATGGTAAAAACTGAACCAAAGTTGCTATAACATGCAGATAACCTGAAAGGTCTCTAGTGATATTTTTGAAGGTTGTCTAGCAATATGGTAAGCATTATGGATGAACAATAAATTGAAATAAATTAACATTTTAGCAATACGCAATAAGATTTCTAAAAATATATTGTTATTCGGCAAAATTTTGTTAAAATCCAAGTTTGGATAAAACAGTCAGAATTTTATCTTAATTGAGTTATTACAGAGGACAAAAACTTCCACAATATGAGAGCTGGCACAAACTACTTGTCTACAACCATGTTGTAGGAATAGAAAATAATTTACTTTAAGTGCAAAAATGACCAACTTACATTTTCATTTTTCAAAATAAGTTTTAAGATGGCTTCCCTCTGTTTTAGTGCCTTTAAATGAAAAGAAAGGAAATGTGATATTGGTATAAAATAATAATAATGATCCAACCTTTTAAAAGTGATAATCTTACAATTATTATGATGCCTTTTAAAAACTTGATACCACTCTGCTATAGATTCCTTGTCGTACCACTGGATCTTCCAGAGAAGGGGCTGATGATCGAAGATAGTTTCAATCATCAAATTAAAGTACTTCTCAAGCAAATGTTATTATTCTCCCACATAAACAGCACCCAGGATCTATACTCTCTCCTCTTTGTTTCTGAAAGAAGCACTCCTGAGACAATAAATCCTTTGATAACAGGGATTCATGGAAGGTAGTTGAAGGTTATTTGGGAGAAGTCAGTCAGAAATTGAGTCTGGAGCAGCAATAACTGGTTCCAGAAAAAACACAACCAAATACAGCTAATTTCTCAGCACACACACACACACACACACAGTCTTTCCAAAACTTCCTTAAGTACAAATAAATGGCAAATAAAATACAAATTGAAAAGTTAAAATAAACAGCAAGATACCACCAAGCAATTTTAATACAGATTATAAAGAACAGAAAACTGAATAAAAAATTTAAAACTTACGAGGCCGATGAATTTCTGATGAGCAAGAAACTGATTGAGTCAAGAGGTAAATACAGTAGCTGCTCTTAAATAATGTTATAATTTTACTAGTAAAATAAAATTGAAGCTTTATACAATTTCCCTTTTAAATATCCAATCTGGAAAATTCCCCCACCCTCAACTCCATTTCCGGTTTTCTGGAGAAATCAGGTATGACAACTTTCTGATTTCTTGTCACATCCTCTAAAACAGGGGTCCTCAAACCCCAGTCTGCGGACCGGATATCAGTCTTCAGCCTATTGGGAATCAGGCTGCACAAGCGGCGGGCATGCAAACCTTCATTTGCGCATGTTCAGAATCTAGGTTGTGCATGCAAAACCATCAATGCCCCCCCCTCCCACTGCCGGTCCATGGATCCAGAAAGGTTGAGGACCACTGCTCTAAATGGTTTTTGGAAAGTGCATGAAACTTACAACTCAAGCAAAACTCCACGGGCGTGACAGGAATTCCTATCTCAAACATAACAGTTATTAGGTCCCATCTTCACTGCATAATACAGGTAGTCCTCAACTTACGACCCTAATTGAGCCCGTTTATGTTGCTGAGACATTTGTTAAGTGAGTTTTGCCTCATTTTACGATTTTTTTGGCCACAGTTAAGTGAATCATTACAGTTAAGATAGTAACCTAGTTGTTAAGTGAATCTGTCTTCCCCGTTGACTTTGTCAAAAGGTCACAAAAGGTGATCACATGACCCCAGGACACTGCAACCATCATAAATATGAACCAGTTGCCAAGCATCTGAATTTTGATCACATGACCCTGGGGATGCTGCAATGCTCATAAATGTGAAAAGCCACCATAAGTCACTTTGTTCAGTGCCGTTGTAACTTTGAATGGTCACTAAATGAACTGTTGTAAGTCAAGGACTACCTATAGTGGGTTTCGGAGGAAAACATAATTTGTTGTCTTAGTTTTAAACCCCCACGTAGCTCAGATGTAGGATTATTACTCTCTTCCCTGTGAAATCATCAAGGAACAACCCACAATACCTCATATCACCTTAAGAAAATATGGATAGCACAGAAATAGGAGGGGAACATGCTAGGTAAATTGCCCAAATTTTGATATGCCATTTTCAAGAAATCCTGTTTGTTCTCTCCATGAAACAGCATTTCATCATAAGTAGCTTGTGTTTGTGCTTTTGGCTAAATATTTTGTTTTTCTTTGTGATAAACTACCTTGGAAACTTACTATGACATAGTATTAAGATACTAGGAAACCATGAGTCCTTTCTTAGGCACCAAGCAAGTTGGATGATCTTGGGCCAGTCACTTTTTCTTTAGGAAGAAGGCAATGGCAAACATTTTAACCAACTTACAGGTTGATTGATATGAAATCTTGTAGGCATTCTTCTCATAATGGCAGTGTCAAGATCCTGAGGGCGATTAGTAGCTCCCATCACTATCACCTAAATGTAATGTATGACAAGGAACAGTTATTCTTGACGAAATACACGAATATTGACATATCATGTTTCACGAACAAGTGGCCCTAGTTTTTAAAGAATGTTTTCCCCCCATTAATATAATCAGCACATAATATATCTGAATCTGAATAAACCTCTGGATTTTTAAGTTTCTCTAGAAAAGCCCACTTTCAATTGAGAAGCATTACAAAATGATGTTTATAAATACTGATTCCAAAGTACATGATTACAACTGCATATAAAATATGTCGGAGTACAAAATTAGTAATGTTGCTACTATCTTCATATGGAAATAAAACTGATTTAAGAAACTGTTGATCAATTGTTTATAGCTCTAGATTTTCACCTCCAAATTAATTTGATAGTGACAGAAATTGAACTTTTATTCATCCTGAATTTAACTAAAGCTTGTTCGAACAACATCAAACAATTAGAATTTATTATTACATTTAAAGAGTTTTAGACATACAAAAGCAGTTCCAAACCAAAATAAAGACCTCCTTTTGCTTAATATTAAAAATGTCACTATTATTTTAAAATTATCCTACTCCTTTCTCAAACCAAGAGAATTCAAAATCGGCAGAGTACTGAAATGTAAGTTAACTTGTCCATTCATGAAAAAGAGAATACTCTTATTCTATTTTTTTAAGATTTTTCTACAGTTTTTGACCATCATTTAAGGCATCTTTATTTTGAATGCTGTATAGTATGTAACAGACAATGTACAAAATAAATGGGATAAATATTTGGACCACAGAATAAAATGTATCATGTTCAAAGTAGTCCAGAAATGTTACTTAATATTACTCTACATTATAGGTATCAAACTCACCACGTCACGTGACATGCTGTGACGTATCGCGACCTTTTTTTGCATTGCTGGAGCTGGGGTGGGGGCAGCCTCCGTATGATGCAACGGGCCCACGGGCCGGCAGTTTGACACCCCTGCTCTACATGCTATTTGAGAGTATACACATACAGAGGCATCATCTAGAGATGGAAAAAACTCCCCAAATGAAAAGGGAGTTATTATTTAGTGCACCTTCACTTCTCATGAAATGGTCAGAAATAAAGAAACAGGGTTCTTAGATGTATAAATTCACTGCCATTTAAGGCTTCCTATCACTAGATTAGATTGGGTGGAAAAAGTTTTTAAAAAGTAGTTTGCAATCCATCTTCTCTTTGAAAAGCTGGCTGGATGTCTCTTTCCCTATTTCACTGTGACTTTCAGCCAATTACACCGTTTTGTGGTGAGAAAATAACCATGCCAAGGTGCTTAACTGGAGAAACTACAGAGATATTGATCTCAACTGAATCAGGTAGGTTTAACCAGAATAAGACAAGACTTTCTTCTGGGCACAACTAATCCAAGCAAGAATACGAAACTAAAAATATGAAATATGACAGCAGACCTTAGACTGTAAAAACTTGCAAATTCCTGCTACACTGTATGATGTAGGCTTATAATGTTGAACTGGCACCTAGGAGACCAAGTTCTAACCCTTAGCCATGGGTGACTTTGGACAATGTGGTCTCTCAGCATAACTTCATAGGATTGTTCTTGTGGAAAAAAGTTAAAGGAAGAAATACTATGTAGAGTATATTGATCTCCTAAAGGAAAGGAATAAATGAATAAACCATCTTTTTCTGCTTCCATTTCTCAAGCTGGCATTTTTTATTCGCTGCACTGCTTGATCGTAAATGCCTACAACTGTGCATCGAAGCAATGAAAATTACATTTTTATAAGCATTGCATGAATGTATCAATAAAAATAATAATTTGCTACTTACTTGGCAATTAAAATCAGTGTCTAGACCATCCCAGAGACTCATGAATTGGGCTTTCATCATAGCTGTGGCCTCATGATCAGAACTTGAACGACTTCGTAGAAAAGAATCTGAATTTAACAAAACAAAACAAAAAAAGATTTGAATAGAACTTGTATTTCTAGAGTATGAAGTTGTATGTGTTGCATAATGAATTAATCAAGGTGCATGCATTAACTGAGAAAATAGGGTGGCGTAGCAGTTAGAGTGCAGTACTGCAGGCCACTTTAGCTGACTGTGTTCAGCAGGTCAGCGGTTCAAATCTCACCGGCTCAAGGTTGACTCAGCCTTCCATCCTTCCGGGGTAGGTAAAATGAGGACCTAGATTGTTGGGGGCAATGTGTATGTATGTATGTATGTATGTATGTATGTATGTATGTATGTATATATATACACACACACATTGCTTACTGGTGTACACCGCTTAGAGAGTGCTCGCGCTTAAAGCAGTATATAAGTCTCATAAATAAATAAATAAATAAATAAATAAGGGACACATAAGGAGATATGCACGATAACGTCATATGTATGTTAACAGGAGTGCTGGACTGGGTTTCTAAAACAACAGTCCTTGGCTCTTCTAGTAAATGGAAAAAATTTCCAGAATCAGATTATGATGCAACCAAGAAGGATGGATGCCCCATGTACTTTTTTCAGTTGGTTTTTGGTTATCTATTGTCTATCAGTTTCTAGGAGTCTTATAAAAAAAAAATGCTGAACTTGGAGACCTGGTTTTGATAATTTCAATTCTTAAACAACAGTACAGTTCAAGATCCTAAGACATAAATTAGCAATACCTTAATTGGATTGGTTAACAGCTCCTCCTGTTTTAAATATTTTATATATTTAAAAAAGCACATATCAACTAGAGGCATTATGATGAAAGCAGTTTTTGTATCTGTTAATAGGTATTATTTAGACAAAATGTTTAAAACATTGGGCACGCTGTGGTCTCTGTATATAGTAACATAACTAATTCTATTATTAGCCAATACAAATAATAATAATAATAATAATAATAATAATAATAATAATAATAATAATAATAATAGTAAAGTTGGAAGGGACCTTGGAGGTCATCTAGTCCAACCCCCTGCTCGGGCAGGAAACCCTATACCATTTCGGACAAATGGCTGTCCAGTCTCTTCTTAAAAACTTCCAGTGTTGGAGCATTTACTGCTTCTGGAGGCAAGCTGTTCCACTGATTAATTGTTCTTACCCACTGAACATTGCTGTTATTGTTTTTTTTTAAGATTTATAACAATATTTGCAGCTTTAGATCTTCCTTAAAATAAAAATCTCATCAATTTAAATAAATTTCATATATCTACTGAGCATGACATCTACTCCCCCCCAAACAATAATATCCTTATTATAGCCCATCTCTTTATTGAAAATAAATCAATAAAAATCCTTTGTCAAAACAAAGTATGCAAATGTATAAAATCCCTAAATAAAGTTGTGTAAAATTGGTATGAAGATGGTAGAGGACAGGAAGGCCTGAGGAACATTGTCCATGGGGTCGCAATGGGTCGGACTTGACTTCGCAACTAACAACAAAATTGGTATAACATGAAAGAGTTGGAGGGTGGGTTCAAAGCATCTGGAAGTCTATCTTAAAATACAGCTTCATGGCTGGCTTGTTTTGAAACCACTATTCAGTATTATTTCATAGAACTTGGGCATTTGCAGAAGTGTCCACTCAAAGTGGAACTTGCTCATCTGATGAAAACAAAAGGTAAGGCTTGGTGCAGTTCTTGTCTCCTTCCTCAGGGACATCCTGAGCCTGAGGTAAGGGCTGGCCCCATCCCTGTTAGTGTTCATGAAGACCAGGAAGAGTCAGTCTGATCTGAGCAATATGTAATATCTGAAGATATGTATGCATGAGATATATCTGATCTCATCACTCACCCAAGGAATCCAGCTAGGAACAGATATTAGTTGCTAATGTACACTTAAGAGGAAAATTAAAAGATAACATGAAAGGGGACAGACTTTTTATACCAGGGGGCCCCAACCTCTGGGGCACGGCCCACTACCGGGCCATGGCCTATTTGGAATTGGGCCACATGAATGGCTGGCTGGAGCACACGCAAAGCTCAACCTGCGCGAGGGGTGGTCCAGTGGGCAATCATGTGTGTGCACGCCTGCACGCTGCTCCACAGCGCAGTTCTCCTCTCCCTCTCCCCCAGCAAGATCACCAAACCGCAAAGGTTAGGGACTGTTGTTTTATATTAACTGTAATGAGAAAGAAACCTCTTTTTTTCGGTTATAGAATTAGGCTTTTTCCAGTGATATGCCTTCTGGTTAAGTATTATATTACTGGGATTTAAGCAATAAGTATCACATCTAACTTTACATGTTATCTGAGTTAAGAACTAAACGTGCCCATGCTAAATGTAGAGTCAGTCTGGTGCAATGGTTAGGGTGATGGCCCTGAAACCAGGAGACCGTGAATTTTAGCCCCATCTTAGGCACGAAAGCTAACAGGGTGACTTTGGGCCAGACTCTTTCAGCCCAACCCACCTCACTTGTTGTTGTGGGAAATAGGAGGGGGAAGCATTATGTATGTTCACTGCCAAGTTATTTATAAAAATAATAAAAACGGGATAAAATAAATGTTATGTTTTTTAAAAAATATCCATATATCTAACCCAAGATTTTGAATTTCATGCTGGATATATGCGAATTCTGAAGGGATGAGAAAATGATGCTGCTCTACCCATTACATGAATCCAAATAGACAAAGAAGAGGTCTTTATTGTTCTTTAAATATTAAAAATACATATAAAATTATAGCAATATAACACTGCTGTTTCAAATTAAATGGCACTCTCCCCCTTAAAAAAACCCAAAAAAATCCTATAAAGATGCCTATTGTTTTGCTACTGATAATTCTAAATACTATTGATTTCACATGAGCAAACTAACTATGAAGTTTTAAAAAATGTGAATGTAATATTTTCAAATATGTAGAAAATTTCACTTTACCTATTTCATCAATAAAGATGATAGAGGGTTGAAGTTTTATAGCAAGAGAAAAAACAGCCGCTGCCAGCTTCTGGGATTCGCCATACCATTTATCTGTTAATGTTGAGGGCTGAAGATTAATAAAACGGCAACCAGCTTCCTTTGCTGTAGCTTTAGCAATCAAGGTTTTACCACAACCTGGAGGGCCATATAGCAGCACTCCTGAAAACCAAACACACTGTTAATTAATTTATTGCCACTCTACATGGGAAAATATAATATCTGTATTTTATACATGCTGAGGTTAATAAAACTCTTTGCAAAGTCTCCATATCAGCATTATTGTTTACAAGCTGCTCTCCTATGCCATAAAATCCTGACATTTATCTGCCCATTATTTTACTACAATGAGCACAATCTCAAAGGGACAGAAATAAGCTATATAGGCACAAAAATACTCATGTGGTGAAAATGTACTGATTCTGAATTTTGAGCTAGGCACAGCTTAGTGGAATTTCCTCCTGTATAAAGATACACAGGATATGCAGAGAAGGATCTTATTTACCTAAATTAAATATTTTATTCATGCTGAAATTATTTTAAGGTTCTGCACCATCACTTGTTACTTATTTTATATTGCTACCCTTTAAGCCATCCTATAAATTCTATTCTAAATTGAAGAATGAAATATTAAGCAATATTACAAAACTACATATACTTAAATGTATACATTTAGCTGGAATGAATGATTTGGAAGAAAATCTCTACTTTCTCCATGCCTAAATTAATCTTCCATGGAAGTTTATAATAAATGGGACAAGTTCAATGATCTTTCTAAGTTTTTTGTAAAACTGGAATTTTTTTTTATACAACTTGAGCTTTTGTCCTTGAGGAATTGTATTATGGTAAGGTTTTCTTTTAAAAAGATAATTTGGACTTCCTTATATTACCTTTTGGTGGTTGCAGAAGTCTTGAGTTTTGAAATAGATGTTTTTTTCTGATTGGCAAAATGACAGTGTCCTTCAGGTCTGTAATAACATCATCTAAGCCTGCGATATCATTCCATGTTACCTAAGGCACAAATATAAGATTAAAAAAAGTTACTGAGCTGGCATCTGTTAAACAGCTATAATCTCAAATTAGGGATAAAGATGAAAGTTATATTGAATCTTAAAGCCATTTGTATATTAACCATATTTCTCACCAAACAAGAAAAATAAAACAAAATATATCCCAGAGATTGTGACTTTACTCTCTTGATACTGGGTTAAGTTACGTTAGTCTTGAGATTTGAATGCATTTATATAATACAATGAGGGGAAAAAATATTTGATCCCCTGCTGATGTTGTACATTTGCCAACTGACAACGAAATGATTAGTCTATAATTTTAATGGTAGGTTTATTTTAACAGTGAGACAGAATAACAAAAATATCCAGAAAAATGCATTTGTTATTATTCACCTCTCACTGTTAAAATAAACCTACCATTAAAATTATAGGCTGATCATTTCTTTGTCAGTGGGCAAACGTACATAATCAGCAGGGGGTCAAATAGTTTTTCCCCTCACTGTATATCATGTGATTATTTTTGCTTTTTTACTGATTCTGAAGAAAAGTATTTTGATCCTTGATCTAAGAAATAGAGATGATGTTGGCCTTAAGCAGTATGGCAAGAGAGCACTAATAAATAAGTCTTCTTACTAGTACAAATTTACCATTAATAATAAACAACCTAGTTTTAATATCCTATCTGCTCTTTTAATATTGATAAGTATTATACATAGAAATGAAAACTCTAAAGATATTTTTATACTATATCTACAGTACATCCAAGAATGTAAAATTCTTTATATGTAGCAGCATTGTTTAGCATATGAGAACATGATGGAAGAGAAGTAAACATAAACACAGTCCAGGTAATTATAAGTAAAACTTCTATGGGGTTATGGCAGTGGCCTCATAACTGGATGTCGTGGGCAAACTTGCACAATATGTTTTACAGTCTGCCTGTCAGCACCATAACTGCAACAAGGGAAATCTTTCCATTTCCACTGATACAGGGCTGAAAGTACTTCTTCCAATATCACACCTAATTCTATTCAATTTCAACCAGACAAAACAAGGAAGGTCAAAACCAGGTGGTGTGGTAGAGGGATCACTAATGGTCAAGTCATAAGAAGGCATCTTGGACCTTTCCTCTCTCCAGGCATTCTTGGGGTTAAACTGGATAGATATTAAGTGAATGGCTGTTTTCCAATCTTGCCTATGAGATTTCAATCTTGAGATGGGCATGCAAAAACAAACAAAGAAAAAATTATATTGCACATAAATTTGCAATATGCCTAATTACAACAATATAGGTTTTTTCCCCCAAAGAAACACCATACTGATATTTTCAGTGTGCTAATTTTTAGGTACCTGAGTGCTTGGTGCTTACAGCCAGTGCTTGAAATAATCTTATTTGAGCATGATATAGCATGATACAACATACAATGAGTTAACCTACGAACAAGATGAAATTACCATAACTCAGTCTTTAAGTGTACACAGAGAACTTTGAATACTATTTTTAACAAGCACCAATTTTTAACTTCATGTAAAACTGCATAAATTCACTGAAGTAAAACTCTTGATGCAATGTTAAAATAACTTACCACATTAAAAAAGTCCATAATCATGCATATTAGTCAAGAAAAAGTTAAAATTGGATAATGATCAATTCTGATATTTATTGAATGTAAAAACAGTCATTACAGAATTTTGTTCCCTATCTCATACCATGCTTAGCTGCAGATGCATAGGGAGGTTTTGTTTTTTTTTGCTCCAATATCTGAAAATAGTCATTATGTATTAGTTCTATCAAATATTTCAGGTTTTTGAATTGTGTGTGGGATTACTAGCACTATCATTAACTTATTAAGATGCTGTCTATATTGAGAGAATGGGAAAAAAGAAATCGATCCCGGAAATTTGGACCTGTATAACTGTACTACTTGGAATAAAAAGCTGAAACACGTCTTGTCTCACAATGTCCATATACTCCCGAAAGTAAGAAAATTCAATTAAAATACAGTTCCACTATGAATACATGTGTATCCACATGAACATTTTGTCCTGAAACATAAATATTTTCACATAAGAATAAGACAAATAACACTTACATGCATACTAAGAGGATCCACCAGATGTGCAGCAATGCTCATCTCATATTCAGAAAGCTTAACATTTTTCACACCTATTTGCTTCATCAACTTTTCTGCCTGTTATAGAAGAGCCAGAGTTCAGCAATATGGCCTCATTTGATCTTTTCAAATAATGTTAGAAAGGGGAAGGCTGCTATTAAGGAATATGAACATTCTGTTAATTGTGAATTAGGAATCTGAAAAAAGAATGCCCCCATTTTCATTTGTTTGAATGTACCATCTCTTTACTGAAAATAAAGCCAGCTTGTTGTTAATAACAATACTTCAGGGTGTCTCTCCAGGATAATCAAAGGTTATTCAAATGCATTTTAATCTTTGTCTTAATACCTTTTCAACAATAGAGAATGTTCCATTTGAGTATAGCTACTTGAAGCATAATTCATAAATATTATGGGTAGTCCTTAGATTACCTTCATTTGTTCATTCAGCAAAAGTTCAGAGATACGGCGGTACTGAATGAGGAGCACTTACAATTGGTCCTTTACATTCTTTATGTCACATAATCATGATTTCATATGTTCCCTGCTGGCTTTCTACAAGCAAAGTCATTAGAGAAGCCAGCAAGCACTATAATGTAAAGGCTTCACTTTACGATGTTATTGGAGGCTGTCATTGCTAAGAGACGCAGTCATGTGGACAGCATCTTAGAAACTCTTTCAAAATATGCAAACAACTTTCAGAATGATATACTCATTACTGGGGAAGAGAAAATAATTCTCTAGCTATAAAAATCTGTGATGAAAAAACAAATAAAGAACATTTCCACAAAGGCAACATTCTATAAGTGGGCTTTGTAAAACAACAGGCTCTTGAGTCTCCATTAATTTCATATACAAAAAAAAAAAAGTTAGTAGAGGGAGACATAATCTTTCAAGGCATCCTATCTCAATATAACAATTATTTCCATGCAAAGGGTAAAGGGAGGTCTTTGAATTTGTTTATTAATGTAGATCACACATGCTGCTTAAAACAATAGCTTGGTTCCATTATTTTAGAACTTTACCAGAATTATGAACAAAAGATTGTGTTAGCTTTAAAGCATAATTTTATACAGGTCTACTCAGAAGTCAATACCACTGAGTTCAATAACATTTCTCTATTTCATGAAAGGACAGCTTTTCAGGAGCTAAAGAATTATATTTAATTCTCCCCCACTGCAGTAGCTTGAGGACTAAGGCAGAGAGAGCAGCAACCCAGTAATTTAACTCTCTCTGAAAGAAAGAAAAGCTTGTGATTATGTCTATTTTCTGGGTTGAGGGATTGATATTTTAAGAGGAATTTTTGGGTGCCCAAATTTTCCATATGTTATTCACAAAATCATGGCTTGTAACTTGAACTATGTTATTTGGCAAGCGTCTACTTGCCAAATTTTTAAAAATGTGTGAATTGAATTTCTACTATGCATGTATATATTTGTTGTATCTTTAATTCATTATTTACTTTTATACCTTGTGAAATTTGTTTTTATTCAGTTGAACAACCCCAGAATCATAAGGTGAGGATGCTGAGCAAGGTTAGCAAGCTGGCAAGTGAATAGGCTTGTTCAAAATGCAAACTTAATCCATTGGTTTCTCATTCTGAACTCAGCGGCTCAATAATAATGTTAGCTTTCTGTTCCTTATTTATATAACATTTATATTTAAAGTATTTTATTACCTGTTTTTGAGCTTCTACTTTTTGCTTCCTTGTTGGATCAATTGCATCTACCATCCATTTAATTGTAAAATAGGTCACAGCACCAAATATTGTTAAGCGGAAAATTAAACCAACAACTTCATTCCGAGTTAGAGGACGAGAAAATGTTTCAGCATGTACCATTGTGCACGTTTCACTATACCAAATAATGGAGGAAAGAAAGTCAGTGTGCATTCTTAGAAAGGAAGCTTTGAAGTAATTTTTGGTACATATATATTAACAGTAGTACATATATATTAATATACTTGATACATTACTAACCTGCTGCTAATTCATACACAAGATGGTTAAGATCTTTTTCATATGTAAGAAGAGTGAGACTTCACATATAAGAGATTTCATACACAAAATGGATGTTAATTCCGTTCCTTGTAGAGATAAAGAAATGGATAATTTGTTATCACTCAATATTTCTCAATGACCAAATCAAAAAGGGAAAGTATTTTTTTTAAATGGAACATATTAACTGGAAAACAATAATATTCAGAGGAAGCATCATACATGCCTTTATTTGTTATTAGCAACTCACTTGACAGTAGTCAAAACCAGTAAGGATCAGTTTTACAAACTGACTTAAAATACTAGATTGAAACATACTATGAATGTGCAGAATGTTCCATACACAGCACAGCTGGTTTTTCAATGGGAGACTGGGGCAATACATTGGCTATTGGTACTGGCCACTCTGGAACTCTAATCCTTATTGCTAAAACAGCTGCATTAAGGAATAGGCACATAGGCCAATTCACTGGCCCTTGCAGCTGAAGGGAAGCAGGGAAAAGAATACAGAGGGGCAGGGGGTAGGAAGGAAGATACTATTAGATTGCTATTAGCTGATTTGACAAGTTGGACCAGAGAAAAAGGTTTATAAGATACTGGGCTCCATTATCATGTATGTTTGGCTGGATCTAAAGCAAGACATGGGCAGTTTGGTTTCTGGAGCAGGCTAAAGATCAGAACAAGTTCTTTTTTAATCTGTATTCATTAACTTTCATTGCATTTTATCCTTACTATTGCAAACTACCTAGAATTTGTATAACACAGTAGTACACACATACTAAAATTAAGTAAATCAAAACTAAGCTTGGGGCATAGTAGATTAGCACAGAGGTCAAATGAGTATCTGGCTGTGTATGATGCACACCAACCTCACTCTGCACCATAAAATCACTCCAGTAGCACTGTGGAACAAGTTTCAGCCAAACTCAAAACAAGTAAAACATTTTGGTTTTATTTCTTCCAAACTACAGCAAATGCAAAATAACAGGGCATACTTTTTCTTTCCATGTATACTCTAAAATGTGCCATTTCTTATCATTTTAGTTTCCCAATTTCTTATTCTCCCTCAAAAGAGTTTCAAAACTACATTCAGGGAAGCAGCTTATGAAATATGACCAGCAGACTATAAGGAAGGCCTCCATTGTATGCAGCATATTAGCAATGGGCTGAGGCTGTATGAAGGAGTTATAAGTTTTGGAACAAGTTTCTTTTGAGGTAAATGTCCCTGACCTTTCACAGAGCCATAAAAACCTGGCTTTTTGTTATATATAGAATTAAGTGGTTAGATGAACTTGTTCTGTTGTGAGAGCATATACAGTTTCAGCTATATTTATTTGATCTTCTTTCTATCCATTTTGTCTTTATTTTGTATGATGTGCACTGTCCAGAGTCACAATTTATGAGTGGGACAACCTTATATACTATCTGTCTATCTGTCAAATATACAATGTCTGCTAAAGGGAAGATTCTTAATTTTTTTAACCAAAACTGCCATACAAAGACCATGGACAGAAAGAATCTCATTTATATGATCTAATTATTCTTTCAGCCTGCTTCAGAGTGCAAATTCTTCACCCAGTTATCTGCAGACCTCATTCCAACATCCTGCAAGTCTGGCAGGCCAAACATGCAATCTGCCATAGATCAAGGTTGTTTATTGTTTCACAACTTTCTCCTTAGAAGCTTGAAAAAGGTAGGAGTATACTATTGTCAGCTTAAAGTGCTTGCTTAAAACATTACCATATGATGCTATCAAGCCAAGTTATCTCTCTATTTCCTGAAAGCAACCAGTCTACCCAGCTATCCAACCATTTTCTAAAGACCTGCTTCTCCTTTCTCTGAATTGTTTTCATTTGCACTCATGGTGGCAAACCCTATCCATTTTACGAATCAGCACCCGAAAAGGAGCATCGTACCTATCTGTCTGGCAACTGACCTCAATGCTACAACTGCATAGGAATTAGTATCAACATGAAGAGGAAGCGGTTGGGAAAAGTTAAAAAGTCAAGACTGGCTCTTCGCTTCTGGGTTATAGGTGAGGTGTAAGACAACGCAGTGCACCCTAGACTTTAGAGAAAATCTACGAACAGTTTTAATTCAGTCTTTGCAGACAACTTTAGGACGGGCTTATGAGTAGGCGGGAAAAACCAAGTTAATGATTAGGAGTGGTACTAACCAACAAAACTGGGACTCCGCACAACCCTATTTAATAAAACAAGAGCCAAGCGGGGCACATGGAGACGGCGGGGGAAGAAAAGATCATTATTTCACCCCCTCCCCCGAAAACACGAGGGGAAATGGAGCAGTCACCTTCTTTTTCCCAAAGCTTTCAGGACTTCTCGGCTGCTTCCAAAGGCTGTGAACAGCGGCGCGAAGCAGGAAAGCCCAGGCACCCTCTCCAACTCGCTGGCCAAAACGCTCCTGCAGAAATACCCCGCCACCAAACTGAATGGAAAGCGAAAAAAAGCCTCGAGGTGACCTTCCGTGTCAGTCCTTCGCACGCCGCTACCTTCTCCGCACCGGGGCGACGGAAAGGATCGAGGCGCGTAAAAGGCGTGCGCCGGAGGGGGAGGGGAGCAGCGCGCGAAAATCCCCGAGTGGAGGAAACGGCCATTCCCGGCAGGCGTCGCGTGGGTGTTGGGCCGACGCTCAATACCTTCCCCTCGCATGCCGCGCCTCTATCGTAAGGTTCCGTTTAAGGAGGAAGGGGGAAAGTTTTCCTTGTAACCCTGGCCGGGGGGGGGGGTGTCTCGCATCGAGAGTTTGCTTTCTTCATTTTGCGGAAAGGAGGGCAAGACAGTCTAGCTGGGCCTCAAAAAGTTTGCCCTCCGAGAGTCAGATATTGATCTCAGGACGGCTCCAATTTAGCTTGCACATAATAGAACTAGATATAAATTTCCCAGTCTGGTCTAATTAACCATTGCTATCCTGTTTTCCTTTGGACCAGATCTAGGGAGCCGGAAATTCAGTAACTGACAAATTTACCTTACGTTCACAAACCAAGTTGTGGAGAGCTATCTATGTTCCAGATACTGTGGTTTATAAAGTTACCCTGTGCTTGAGTAAGGGTGGGGAAACAGGCCAAAGGTCTCTTAATCCTTTTATTAAATATGTATTATATCCCATCCAGCCCGAGATGCTCCATGGTCAGCATCCAAATAAAAGCTCAACAATGTTGAACTTAAGAATACAAGCAAAGCAATGGCAGAAACTCTAGGGGAGACAAAACAATAGAAAACAGTCTTTGTTACAGTTGAGAATATTTTAAAGAGAATGGAGTAAAGTTGTGATATCTTGGGTTTGCTTTGGGAGACTTTGATTTCAGTGCAATGAGACAGGAATCGATTGTTGGGAGGAACTCCCCCGTTCGGTTCTTCCAGCCGGGATTCTCCTTGACGGCACAGTGCAGAAGAAATAGATCGTGAAGCCAGCTACCAGAAAGAGGTTTTATTTCGAGGATCAGCGTTGAGTGACAATTCAGCTCGAGTCCCCGGCTAGCTAGACAGAGTGATCTTTAAACAGGGGTTTTTATACCCTTTTGTGGTTTCCAAACTTGTCATTTCTGATTGGTAACAAACTTACCATTTCTAATTGGTGAGTTAAAATTTGTCTTTCTTGATTTGCTGGTTTGTGACTATTGTTAGTTCCTTTTTCTTGCCTAAAAGGTGTTAATTACTTTTATTGTTGTGTCCTGATTGCTGCTAGCTGGTTCCTCATTGTGTGTGTCAAGTGTTTGCTGTTTTAGCCTCAGGCTGCTGTTGACCCAGTTTAGTTGGGGTGTTCCTAGATTATTTCTTAGTTGGGCTGGGGAGGGGGTGTCCAACTCTCATCAATTCCCCCATTTTGGGCTATTACTGATGTATCAGTGATTAGCCCAACTGGTTCATATATACGGTAGTGGTGATCAATTTGGCACATCATGAGAGATGTTTTCTTGCTCTGTCCCTTGCTTCTGATGGGAGTTGTGCAGACCTTTAGGCATTTTAACCCTAAAGGAATTAATTGGCATAGGCAACAAAGGAGGGCCCCACCTATTATGACTGTGATTATACTACCAATAAGAATTTTCAACCAATGGAAGTCTGGTAACCATGAAAAGAGCCAGGAAAGGTTCCAGGATGACTGGTTGTGCCCAATGTTTTGTGCTAGTTCTCTTAAATGTTGGATGTCACCTTTAGCTTCCAGTCAGGTTTGCATACCCCCCAAAATTCTTCACAGCCATGGTTCTCCTTAGTACATGACCACTGGCTGCTCAGTTTCAAGGGTTGTTTCCTGCCTTAGCTCTTAATTCAGTGCATCCAGGTTTGTAATGCCCAACTGCCAGGCTATTAAATTTTCTTTAAATTGCACATAATGAGTTCTAGGAATCCCAATCTGAGCTCAACAGTGCAAAATATTCAGGGCATAAGTTTGGGATTTTTCCTATTGCTTCCTTAGTCATGGCATATGAATTGCAAATCACCTGAGGGGGCCTAGTTCCCTCCCCCTTGTTATCTGTTGGAAGTTGATCCCTCAAAGCTTTGGTGCAACAGAGCAAAAATCAGCCTGAGGAACTTTACTAAAGGTAGGTGGAGGGGATAGACTCTGAATGGGGTGAATGGTGTATGTATGCATATGCAGCTATTTTTACAAAATAGCCAATACAAACATTCTGGATAAATTTTCCCTCCCACCAGATAGAAGTCCAAGGTGTTCAGTACTTGTTCTGCCACATATTCCTAAATGCCATCTCTCCATTAATACATTCAACTGGCTTGTTACAATACAGATGGGGCAAGAAAGAAAAGTTTACAATGAGTTTCCACCCTCCCCCCACAGTCTAATTTTCTCTTCTGAGGCTTCACATGGCATCAGGAATCTTCCTTCTGCAGCTCTCACAGGCATCTGGGTAAATGGTAGGACTTGGGAAGATGTTCCACTCAGATTGCATGGTGGCTTTTTAGTGGATGGCTGGATTCAATTCAATTCCATGGCTCAAATGGATGGAGGCAGCATCTGGGTCTGTGTGTTCTGCTTCCAAAGGGTTGGGAGAGGATTGCAGGGCTGAAAGATACAAGAACAAGGTCTCCCCCCCCTTTCTGGGTGGACTCTACCAGGAGAGGAAGACAAAAGGTATGGAGAACAAAGGACAGGAAAAGAATTGGAAGGGGGGTAGCTTGCAGGCAGTTTGAAAAGGGCATTAATACTGCAGTTATTAAACATAGACAAATGGGGAACAACAAAATGAAATGTTTCACCTTTGAACTTGACCATTTGCAACATATTAAGGACAAGAACTTGCAACTTGGAAGGAAAAAAAAATGCTAGGCAGCTTGAGAATGCTAAAAATTCCAAATAATTTTAAAAGCCTAATATTTTAAGATGTGCAACTTGCCAAGGGTAGGAAGATCTGCCTTTAACATTTATTCTAAAATAGATAACATTATTTTAGAGATTGGAAAATGCTTATGTTTCAGGAAGCTTCATAGTAGTTTCACCAGTAAGTGATAGGATAAGAAAAGTAACTTTAAAAAATTATTTCCCCACACAAGCAAACTTGAGTTTCAAAAGGCTCTTGTAGATAGACACACATTGTTCAGGAAAAGGATAGATAAAACACATACAGTAAATGCAAGTGAAACTTTTCCAACAAATAAACTTAAAACAATCCCTCCAAGTAACTTAAGGCTGTTCTTGAGCGTACACAGAGACAGAGAAAAACAAACAAACAAACAAAAACAAACACATTTTTTTTTCTTCATTCTGTTTGTTGGCCAGACAAACAGAGTGAGGTATTTCCTTTTTGTGGCTTATTTTTAAGCATGATTTCTAGCAGAATTTAAAATTCTTTTTCCTTTGGATTTGAAACAGTTAATAGTCACATTTACCTCTCACACAGACTTTGACAAACATATATACACAAAGACAAGAGAACAGAAGTCTTAGTTTTACACATCCTAGTCATTCCCACCATAAATTTCAGATAACTCAAGTTAGGGAAGGCACACATTTTAAACATACCACGTGGTTGCATAGAGAAGAGAGAGAGAAAGAGAGAATCGCTATTTCTTATTTTCCCTTTTTAAGTACCTTTATTTAGCCAAATTGGTTTCCCAGCAAAGCCCTAAGCAAAGTCTATTTTTTTCTATACACTACACAGTCAAAGTCTCCTTGTGAGACTTCTTTCCTAACAGTCGAAGTCTCCTTGTGAGACTTCTTTCCTAACACTGTCGAAGTCTCGTTGTGAGACTTCTTTCCTAAGAGTCGAAGTCTCCTTGTGAGATTTCTTTCCAAACACAGTCGAAGTCTCCTTGTGAGACTTCTTTCCTAACACAGTCGAAGTTTGCTTGCGAGACTTCTTTCCTAACACAGTCGAAGTCTCCTTGCGAGACTTCTTTCCTAACACAGTCGAAGTCTGCTTGCGAGACTTCTTTCCCAATACAGTTGAGGTCTCGGAGGTGAGCGGCCACCTCCGCTCGGGGCTACTGCTTTAATATTTACTGGCAGAAGGGGTCCTGGCTTACCCAGAATAGGGTTCTCTTTCTCTGCCCACTCGGTCCTCCTCTCTCACCAGAAGGTCTCACGCTCCGATGCCCCCCCTTGCTTTCCCGAATTCCGCCGGTCACGGCTCCACTGGAGCTAGCAGCAGGTCGGGGTGCGGCTAGAGGGCACACGGAGGGAGCGAGCTCCAGCTGATTCTAAGAGGAGGATGCCTCATGCACACACTCATGCATTCTTCCTTTCGTTCTCCCAGACCCTTTAACCTAATAGATTTAAATTTGGTGGCACTTACCCTCTTTCCTGGTAGCTGTTCGAGCGTAAGACTCAAAAACTCCCTTTACTACCCGATGCCGACCGGGCAGGGTCCGAGGAGGCTTCCCCACGGATCAAAGTGTCCGCTGCCGGCTGGGTGATGACTCTTCCGGGCCCGGTCCGGTGGCTGGGTGAGCTGGAAGTCCCTTCGTGGTCGCCAGATTGTTGGGAGGAACTCCCCCGTTCGGTTCTTCCAGCCGGGATTCTCCTTGACGGCGCAGTGCAGAAGAAATAGATCGTGAAGCCAGCTACCAGAAAGAGGTTTTATTTCGAGGATCAGCGTTGAGTGACAATTCAGCTCGAGTCCCCGGCTAGCTAGACAGAGTGATCTTTAAACAGGGGTTTTTATACCCTTTTGTGGTTTCCAAACTTGTCATTTCTGATTGGTAACAAACTTACCATTTCTAATTGGTGAGTTAAAATTTGTCTTTCTTGATTTGCTGGTTTGTGACTATTGTTAGTTCCTTTTTCTTGCCTAAAAGGTGTTAATTACTTTTATTGTTGTGTCCTGATTGCTGCTAGCTGGTTCCTCATTGTGTGTGTCAAGTGTTTGCTGTTTTAGCCTCAGGCTGCTGTTGACCCAGTTTAGTTGGGGTGTTCCTAGATTATTTCTTAGTTGGGCTGGGGAGGGGGTGTCCAACTCTCATCACATTTGTGCTGCACACCTAAGGAGAAGCCAACTCCAGTAAAAATGTTAAGTTTTACACAATGTTTACCTTCAATAGTACTCTTGATTTGTAATCCTATGATCTATTCCTTCGAGGTAAATCCCACTAGCTATGTTGGAACTCCTCATAGGATATTATAATGCTTATCCTCACAAAATTCTCAGGTATTATATAC